TCGATGAAACACCGCCTTCTGACCAATCAGCTCTCTTGAAAAATGGCATCATCATCTTTAGGAGATTTTTGTTTGGCTATGTTTTATAGCCTGCCTTTGTTTGCTGTGGCAATACGGAGAAACTTTTGTATAGCATTATGAACCTACAGAGACTGATTGAAAGCCTTGTGGAAATGCTGACACACAGCAAAGCTCAAATATATAGCTAATATTTTAACATTACAGTTTGCTCTTCGTTTGTAAAATATGCTGCACTATTGCTGGTGGACTTGTTCATGTCTGCGACTGGTCATCTGCTACTAACACCGCCTCTTTTATGTAAACACACTCACGGCTAGATTGGGAAACCCTGAGTTGACTTACCGCGTTGATAACCAGCTTCATGGGACTGCTTATCACGATCAAAATTGTTAAGGTTAGTGAAGCCAGATCACGTAAAGATGTCCTGGGTATGTTGAACTCGCTTCGTGGTACAGGCCCCAGGCATAGACAGTTTGTCTGGGGAGTTATACAGGGGCTTCAAGCAGCAGCTGGCTCTGGTTCTGTTATCAGTTTTTCAAAGTATACTAGGCTTACTCCCAAAACTTTAACAACTGGCTTAATCACTTTGATTTATATTTCTAGTTTATTCGGGAGACGGTGGAATCAATGGCATCCACACTCCACTTGGCAGAGAAACCAAGGTCTTTCTGTACGCAGATGACATCAACGTTATAATCCAGACTGAGCTGGGTGTAGATAAAGTTGTTGAACATCTACATACTTAGGAGAGGAATTTGGGTGCCAGGGTTAATATATGCAAATCAGAAATCTCCTTTTTCGGAGGCTTGTTGCACACACCCCTAACAGATGGAATTTTCACAGGGTTGAGAGAATGGTTAAAGTTTTGGGAGTTTACCTTGGTGAGAATATGCAGATGGCAAGGGAGCGGAGCTGGGGCGAGCTGCTGCAGAGAGTTAGGGACAGGGTTGCTTTCTAGAAGATTAGAGGACTGACTGCTGTAGACAGTCTTGTTAATCTGGTGCAGGATAACACCAGTGAAAACTCTCCTCTGCCTGATTTTGAACTTGGTGTTGAAAACCGAATGATTCAGGAATTTAAGGTTGATATTCTGACAGAGTGAATGAATATCAAGATGGAAACCTCTTGGACCTTGCTCCTAATTAGGAGCAGTGGGCAGCCATTGTGCAGCGGCCAGGGAGCAGTTAGGGGATTGGGGCCTTGCTCAGTGGCACATTTAGCAATAGACTATCTTGGAACCGGCGACCCACAGACTGTCACCCCCTTTATTAATTATATTTAATAATAACATAATTATATAATATTTATTTCAGAGTGTAGGCACAAGATGCATTTCCAAACCATCTCCACTGAGGAAGCAGCTCTGCTGTTTGTAAAGCGAAGTGTAAAAGCTTACAGCACCTGGTATTCCCTGGTGTTCTCCCATCAACCAAGTGAGCAGTTTTGAAAGGGGTCACATTATGAACTGACTAATGCCACTCAGCATTGATATTTTTGATTATGTTTAATGTGACATGGAAAGTATCAGTGAATTCAAAAGGCGATGGTGACATATGACTAATGTACCTTTTGGACAGCAGGATGTGTAGTCAGCAAGGAGAGTCCTTCAGCAGTAGACCCGGGTTAAAGTCCCTGCGTCAGCTTATGTGTTTTGTGAAAGTTGCTAAATTCTTACAGTCTCCGGGGTATCTAGCTGTGCTCTTCTCTGCTTTGACCTTCCTGTCTCAAGGGCAGTGACTTAGTTACTTGGTTGCCGAAATAATGTCAACACCTCAGTGATATGGACTTAAACTTTAAAATAGCTCGAAAAACACTGCTGAAGCGGTTGGTCAAATAATGCTGACTGAGAGTTGCAGACATTTATCAGCAGTAAAACAAGTCCAGACAATAGCATATTGTTATCCTTTATATAAATAAAACAATATGAGGCAACTGACAAATGACTGAAATAGGCCTAATCTGTGCTGGAATTTAGCTACCCAATCTAACCACAGTCAGCCCTTTTCTATTGAGCAGCTCCATTAGAGTAGTTGATAATTAATGCCTTGCAAAAGGACACTAACATAAGTTGTTCAGGGTAGGGACTTTACCCATCAAGGTTTGGCTTAGTTATTGTCATCTTGGAAAGTATTTTGAACAGGAGGCATTGATATTTGAGAGTTTAAAAAAACAGAGAATGATATATTGCCTGTTATTCAGTTCTGGTAAACAAATTATGTAATGGGGGCACTTTATAAATTCTGAAACATATCATATTCTAACATAACTTCTCAAACATAACTTTGGCATTTCTGTACTGTAATAACTTGCTTATTGGCCAACACATACGCAGATACTGCTATATCTACGATAAGACAATATTGGCTGGTCTATCGGCCTGGCTCATCTAGCTCTAGGTTTTTGCTGCATTGTGTTATTACCACTATTTTACTGTCTTAGTTTTCTATTTATTGAAAGCAGCGGCTTCTGACATCTATCCTGCTCTCATCCTTTGATAAAGAGAAGCCAATACTTGGTTTTTGTGCTTATTGTGAATTTGAAATGTTTTGTATTACTTTATGCATTGAAATGCTATAAGGGACAGTGTCTAGCGCTTCAATAAGATCCTACATAGATTGTGATTTAAGTGCACAGCAGCCAGGCTTTTGATTTGGCGCTCAAAAGTTGAAATGCGAACAAATGAATAGAAAAGGAAACGGCAGCACTGAGGGAATGTGAAATCAAATTAGTTTAACTCTGCGATTTTTACTCTGTGCACATTGGCTTACCAAGAATGCAGCTCCTGACAATCTACATTATCAAAGCAATCTGTCTCTCTTTTCCTTTTCTTCTCATTCCCATCCATTGGTTTTCCTCTCCTCTTCTCTTTTTTGCTTCCCTCCCTCTGTCTTTACAGATGGGCTATTTGGCCGATGAAAGGGAAGAGAGCTGTGCCAGTTGTGAGTGTACACCGAGGCGAAGGGAAGAAATTTACTCAAGCAGCCGTGGGAGCTGGACTTGTTTGTGGGAGATAAAGCAGAAACACCACACGGAGGTGCAGATACAGTTCAGGTAGTATGTGTGTGTCGGGGAGTGTGTGTTTGGGGGGTAAGGGTGTAAATAGAGTTTACACCCTTACCCCCCAAGAGTTCTTCATGATTTTTTTGTTAGACAAAACTGAACTTGCTTAAGACTTGCACTATATTTTAGACTGTCTTTTTCTGCGACTCGCTTAATGTTTTTACCCCATATTTCAAAAGTTAGTTACAAACTTCAAAGGAATGTATGTAGTTAAATTGTGGTCAGCCATGTTCATTGTTTAAAGTTAACTCTTTATATACCTGTATTAAGTTTGATCAGCATGTCACATGAAGGACATATTCTTGCTTAAAGATGTTTTGTGACCAGTGTTTTTCCCTCTGAATATTAATTTTGTTAAAGTAAAAAGGGTTTTCAGCTCTGAATAATATTCTGCTGTGAGTGTATAACTCCATGATCCAAATATAATGAATGAAAAAATAAAATTATATACAGTAGATGATGAGTACATGATGTGAAATGTACTGTCAGCTCGCAGTAATGTTTTTGGTAGTTATGGGCATTTTAAACAAAATAGTAATTGATAGTCACTGGGAACTATTCGACCATTGTTTGCACATTTATTTTTTTATTTACTTTATATTTCAACATTTTGTTGTATTTAGACCTACTTATTTATTCTTTTATTTATTCCTCTTTATAGTTTCACATTTATTTTCTTATTCTTTGCAGACTTATTCTTTTTTATGGGACTCCTATGACTCCATAAAACTTAAGTGCTGCGTAAGAAAGTTACATAATCACAATTTCACACAGGCTTTGATATTTGAAAGCAGTGTTTGATAATTGTAGTATTTTGATTAGAGATTTTAATACCATAAAGTATTCATTACTAATTTATTTACCATTGTTGAATGGTGGTAAAAGCAGTATGCTGCTAGACTGTAGAGTAAGAATTTGTCGATGAGATGTAATGGTTTGTGATCAAACATAATGCCTGTTGTTTGAATGGTGTTTTTGTTTTTTTTTGGTATTTGAAGACACAGCAAATTGGTCTTCTTTACGTGTCCAATGATGCAATGGTGCCAAATAATTAATCTCTTTCTTGGGTGTCAAGATGTGAAAATAAATGAGTGCGTAAAAAGTATAGGTCTATTGATTTCATTCTTCCTTTGGAAGCCTGTTTTGAAATGTCAGGCTGACTGATTGCACTTAGTAAACTTTGCCACACAGTATGCACCAGTTATTACAGTGACAGGATGGAGCTTTGCCCACATTTTATGTTTTTTTCTTTGTTTCTCAGTGTAAATACACTGCTGTCTTTACTGGGAAAACAGTATAAAATAAAATGTGTGCAAAGCTCAAGTAATAATAATAATGATAATAACTTTGATTTATATAGCGCCTTTCACAAAACCAAGGACGCTTGGGGGTGGGGGGGGTAAGAGGTGTGAGGCCAGGGGAGATTAAAGCCCATAGGCCTCAGTGAAGAGGTGTGTGTTAAGCTGGTTTTTAAAGGTTATTAAAGGGGAGGCAGAGCGGATGGCAAGAGGGAGCTTGTTCCAGAGTGATGGAGTTTTTGAAAACGTACTCTATCTATGCTGGCAAGAAGTTTTGGTAATCCCCCAAATTTAAATTGGCATTAGAGGCAAAGCATGTACACCAGTAAAGATCAATATGTATTTCTATTTTATCTGTTTTTTTCAAGATATCGTATTTCTTCCCACCATAAAGTAAACATTATACAACCAGTAAAGTTGCAGAAATGAAAAGGATAAAATTGTTGAATTAAATATCTTCCAGATGATTTTCTTTCTTTTCTGCCTGGCCTCATGAACATATGTTTAATGGGCCTTTTTCCACAACTATATAAAGAACATGGAAATGCTTGTCTGTATCTTAATACAGTATCCAATGGTGCCATGGCCGTAAGGAGCCAGAGCAATGTGGGATGCAGAGTGCTTAGAGTGGGTGTGCCTCTTTCCACCTTCCAGCTCCTCCTTATTCTCTGTGGTCGCTTACCGGATGCTCAGGGTCAAGGTAAGAATCAAATGTTTTCTACTGTGTTTCTTCTTAGTTTGGTTGCAAGGAAGCAAGTATGTTTGTCAGTCTGGCAGTAAATGTACAGTGGAGGTCACTGGGTGTCCGTTGATAAAAGTCTGCCCACACAGTGGGGAAAATATTAAAAGGATTAAATAACCAACATGGCAAAATTACGACGTTTAAAGGGTCTGAATTTCCCTTTTGATTGCTTTTCAATTAATCGACCAGCACTATAACGACTGCATTCAGGTTTATAATGCGCAAAGGTACAGTATATTAGGTATGCAGTAAGCTTCCAGTTTGTAGACCAGATTTAATCCTGGTATCCTAGGGAGACAAGGCCACTATGCCCTCTGCTGTCAAAGCACTCCACTGGCTTCCATCCCTCCCTGTGACTGGTTTTATTTATAGCATAGCAGGAATTGCTACCCTAACAAGTGACAAGGGCTCAAAATATATACACATGCACACGTGCATGCGCGCGCACACACACAAACACATACACACACACAGCACACTAATGCCAACTTTCAGGGGTGGTAAGGGGCAGCAACAAGGTTAATGCACGAGAATTGGGAGTAGTGTATTCAGCCTTTATAAAATGAGCTCTGATTAATGGGCCTCAGCTGTGGCATATGCCAGGGCGAATCGTGTGGGAGGACAGGAGAGGACAAGTGCCAGACTATGAGATTACTAGAGCCATCCATAAAAACAAATATCAAACATTCATCTACCATTTGGAATAATGAGTTTTACAGTTTGTGATTTGACAAAATATATATGTGTGTGTGTGTGTCTGTATAACTGCTTTTTTTGTTAGATAGGAACTGAGAACTACTCCCACTTCTACCATAAGTTAAAGTTAAATGTATTTAAAAGATAAAGAAAGGAGGCCCCCAAACTCTTGAGCTACAAGCCTGAAACTTGATAAGTTTTGTTTAATGGTTTTGCACTGAGAACTGCACATCAATTACATCTTTTAACTTATTTGTCAGTAATGCTTTCATGATGTACATTAGAGTGGAGGACTGGGTGGAGTCATTTTGGGCAGCCAGGCTTCAGCAGGAAAAGTGTATTTTTAATGTATTTTAACATTACCAGTGACCATGTTAGGGCTGGCAGGTTTATCATTTCCAATTCTCACAATCACTCGGAAGAATCGTGGTTACAAGCACACACTGGACTCCCACGGCATACCAACAGGATACTTAATGTACTGTGGTGGGAATGTCTATGATAAAGAACTAAAGAAACAAAGTGTGTCTGTCTGGTTTTATTTAACACTTGTGCCAGCGGGCACAATAAACCTTCAAGCAAGTTTTAGGCTAAAAGGGGTGTTTCCACTTTCTGCTGCCAATCTTTTATACACAAAGCACACAGGTACACAGGTAGGGTGCAACCGCATAGTCTACCACCTACTTGTCGTGTCTGCTTCACCACAGGAACCTAGCTCATACAGCATATTCATACAGAAACAATACCATATATGACCTTTTCAACTCTAGTATTTGTAACTCAGTGGAACTCTATAGCAATCAGGAAACACATGACAATATAAAGAATTACATGCAAAATAGTATGTTTCCATTACAGTAAGTAATGAACTGTAAGGTAGTGTTAGTAATTTGCATAGGCTATGTAGCTGTTTGTTGGTTAATACAGTTTTTTTTTAATTGTTCATTTGGTTCATTTGTAATTCATCAATGCGTTGACAGTATGTTTTCTGTTAATTCATTTATCTATCCATTTATTTTCTGATCCGTTTATCCATTAGTCTGCACATTGCATTAGGGTTGCAACTAACGACTATTTCGATTAATCTGTCGATTATTGAAACGATTGATTATAAATCGCAAGATTACTAAAAGCCTCTTATTTAGCTATCAGCGCTTAAATTAAGCTCGGTGTTGTTTTAAGCACATGCTAATTAATGATCAAGACAATAAAATGAATACCGCTTTGAAAAACATAATTTAAAGTGTTTCTGCTGCAGCAACAGAAAGTTCCACAGAAATCAAGTTCTGTTATGGATCAAACGGGTATATATACAGTAAGAAATAACTGTGTGCACAGCCTCGTGCGAGCAGTCAACTGAGCAGCTGATCAGCTGTTAACAAGACATATCATTTATCTAGTGACAGAGTAGCGTACACGCCGGTACTGCAACACACCGGGACAAAACGACACTAATATACAGTGTGTGTATATACAAAAAAACGGAATAACTTCATGCATAACGATTTTGTAGTAGACGGCGTTTCACAAAGTTTATAAAGTTTCCAATAATCCAACACCTCACAAAACTCATAAACGCTGTTGCTCAGTAGCAACACGTTAGAAACTTTGCCATGAGCGACAAATGTATAGAAAACATTACAGCTCATAGCTCATAGCTCATGGCTTTTAACGTGAAGTAACATGGCTTAGCTAGCTTGATAAGTAGCTTACGGAGGTGAATCATCATCCAGAGAGCCAACGTTACATGCCTCCTCTTTAGATGTCGATTATGTTTTGCACCCCTACATTGCACAAGCAATTATTTATGATTAGGTGAACTGCTGAACTTTTAATTACTTAGTGTACCACTGTGGTCACAGATCCATGTGGCAAGTTTAGATGTCATGAGTCTGGAATCCTCATAGCATCTTTATGTATGGAATCTGATTTTAGTGATCCTGTGGATAAGTGAACATAAATACACTAACAAAAAGCAGGCTCATTGCATAGTACAACTTGTAAAAACAGCAGGTTGCTGTCAGTTACACAGGTTATACGTAGAGTATTGCAAAGAGTGATGTGCTTACCACTAGTGGTTTTCAATGTCAAAGTTTATTTGCATGCTTAAAAAGTACCAAGTGCGGTCTTGTGTAATGCTTATTTTGCAGCTGACAAGAATGTGCTTCAGGTTTGCTGGAGATGGACAGATTGGGAACGTAGGGTATTTGACGTACCATTGGATGAGGTTTTTGGGAGATGGTTCGAACTGCATCTATGTCCCACAACTCCTTCCAAGACAACTTAATTGAGGAAAGGTTTTACTTTACTTATTTGTACTTCGCTGTAGTTTGTGGAAAAGGTAAGAGTTTCCTTGTGCCCGACATCTGGTTATTAGCTTTTATGCTTCTCATGCTTCTGTGCCTTCTATGCTGAGGATATGGTATTCTTGTCACGGTGAACTATGTGCTATAGAGACACAGGCAGGAGAGTGAGGTTGTCCCGTATGCTTATAATTTGCTATGCCAGATGCAAATATTAAGTCACGTTAGTGTCAGAGAAAAATACCTTTTTATATACAGTAGTTGCCATGTTCATGTGAGCTTTGTGAAATTCAAGAGTAACATTACATAACTGTCATGTTTTTAGAATGCTATGTGATGGTTTTTTGTTTTATATTTAACGGCAAAAATAATGTTTGTTACATTGTTGTAAATCCAATCAGTCAAACAGATTGTTCTTTTTGTTTGATTAATAGAACAAATTGTCTGTCCAAGCGGTAACTCATCTCAATTTAAATAATTCATCATGAACATTGCACAGGTGTGGTCCCCTCCTTCGTGGGGGGAAAAAAAATGGGTGGCCAGTTAAAATGAAGTGAAGTAGCTGCATAAACACCAATTAAAATGCAATGCCATCATCCAACAGACATTAAAAAAATGGGTTAGTCCCACAGGGCTTTAGATTACATAACCGAGAAACTGCTTTTTTAAGTGAATAAAGACGGTACTGTACTGTTAGATAAACATTTATACTTTTATATAATGGCTTTTCTCGTCTGGTCACTTTAATTGATTTAACAATTTTACTGTAACACCCTCGGCACTCAGTTTGTTTGATTTCTAGATTAAGCCATCATATAGTATACTGAGAATTTATTGTAAACACGCTATAGCCCCTTGCTGTTCCCTTCATACTTTCACTCATTCTTATTTGTTTTGGGAAAGATCGTGATCATGAAAATGCCTTAAATAGAAAGTGTGTTGTTGATACTGTTCGTGTGGCATCACATTAAACTCTCATACAAACTCTCATACATGTGTAATTCTGCGAAGTCACGATCTCTGATTAAACAATCAATGTGAATGATATGCAAGTAATTTCTCAGATACACTGCACCCTAGGTACAGCACTGGAGGCACTTCAGCTGCTTGTAATGTGCCAACAGACAACTCTGCCTTATCAGCAGCTGTGGAAGCCTGCCAACCACCTTGCAAATTGATTTTTTTATTACCAAGAATAAATGGATATTGAATCTATGAGTAACAGAGTGACCTGGCAATGAAGACACTAATGTATTTAAGTCCACTATGAGAAAGTATAGTTTGACAGATTCTATTAGGTGTAGTGTTTTACATTTACTCAATGAAAAGTGGCCAATCTGCAAGTAGGAATATTGAGAGACTCATTACACTGGCAATGGTCATTTTTTTTCTTCTGTAAGTACTGTTTTGTTTGTTCTTGTTCTATATTTTGGTGTAAACTAACAGCACATATAATAGTAAACTGTGTCACTTCATGCAACGCCCATATCATTAATACACATATTAATAAAGCATCATAAGAGCTGCTGCAAACCTTTTTAATGCATTATATTGTTACATAACAGTCAAGTATAATTCTTGTTCACTATCACAGTACCCATTTTGCATTAAGTGTTTTAAATTTGTTGCCAAATGTTATGGAAATACAGTGTGCCAGGTTCAGGTATGTTGAAGAAGGTTTGAATACTGATAAAGATTTACACGGCATTGTTTATTGAGACTCAGGCCAAGGAGACACATTGTCAGCATACACCAAATCTGAAGGGTACTACTGTCTGGGGATATTTAGTCTATCCTTCCTAGACCTACAGAGAATTACTATGTTTCCAAATAAGGTTATTGTTCACCCCTCAATACATGTGTGAAGAGTCTATTGGATATTGGTTCAAATCAAGACACTGCTCTTACCTAAGTTAACCTAAATCACGTTGTGTGTAATTCAAGCCACATGCAACACTT